TTCTCCTTAGGTCTGGAATTTTCTAAGAATGCTTTTGGCCTCAGGAACTTGTGTGGCCCTGACCTGAGACTCTTGCCGTGGCTTCGCCACGCAGTGAAGCAAAGGCAGATGGGGAGGGAAGAAGCCCCAAGATTTCCCAGGGAGTGGATTGAGTAGCTGGGTTGTACTGGATGCAAAGGATCAGGGAGCGTAAAGGTAAGCCTTGGAGCCCTAGAAAGAGGCTGTCAGCCCCAGAAAGGGGCTGGCGGGTGTTGGAGGACCAGGGAAGTAGAGGGAGATGAGGGCAGGGCCAGGACCAGAAGCGGGCACCACCCATATTTATAGTGAGTCTTCATGCTTCAAATAATCTGATCAAGAAAATCCCTCATAGGAGTGCCCTGTGGCTTGCCTTTTAGTTTGTTAAAGATCCAATTAAGTTGATAACCAGTATTAACTGTCTGCATCCTTTCCCCAAGTGCTTAGTGCTTTAGCCACAGCCCCTTACAGTTTATTAAGACCTGAGGTTATATAATGGCAGAGCAAAGGACAAAGATTAGAACCCAAGCATCTCAACTGGTTCTTCACAGAACAAAAACAAATGGTTTGTGTCCCTTCAAAGATTACCCAAGCCCACCAAAAGTCATCACCCGGTATCTAATTTCTCTCATACAGGAGTTAAGTAATGTGTTGCTTAAGAAAGGGGTACTTTCTGAGACAACCTTAATAATAAGCAATGTGGTGGGTACTGTGACAGAAACATACAGTGTGCTTCCATAAACCTAGGTGGCACAGCCTGTTGATCTGAAGTTCCCAGGCTGTTCAGCATGCTACTGCTCTACACTGCAGGCAACAGTAACACAACGGTGAGTATTTATACATCTAAGCATTAAAAAAGTACAGTAAAAAACATAGTATTATGAATTTTCTTTTTAAAAAAGCAGAAGTATACCTTCATTGAGTACTTGCCACAGGGGCCACTGCCTTGGATGAGCCAGTGAGAAGTGGGTGTGAACATGGAGGTGAGGGCACAATTACCTCACTGTGGTCTTGATAACCACTACACACTTAAGCCATGCTAAATTTATTGGAAATAGTTTAATGAAGAATAAGTGAACTTTAGCTCTTTGTAGCTTTTTTTCCCCTTTTTTAAAAAAACTTTGTGAACTTAAAATTGGGTACTGGGGCAGTAACCTGTGTGGGACTGTTGTCCCCTAGAATAGCAATGCCTTCTTCTGGAATCCCTCCTGAAGGACTTGCCTGGGCTATGTTTACAGTTAACAGTTTTATATGTAAGTAAGTAAGTAAGTGTACATGGTGAAGTAATGGATGAAAGCATGGTATAGTAAACACATAAACCAGTAGTCCAGTCATTCATTATCCAATATTATGTATTGCACATAGCTAGCTGTATATGCTACACTTTTATGCGGCAGGCAACATAGTAGGTTTGTTTACACTAGCATTGCCACAAACATAGGCCTTTCACATTTGTGGCCCTGGGTAGCAGATCTTTCATCTCTGTTATGATGGGGCCACCATGGTCTGTGTGGTTTGTTGTTGACTCAAATGTTGTTATGTGGTACATGGCTCTTATTTAAATGAAAACTCATTTATCTGTTTGAGAGCACAATAATGAAAGTCAAACACTCCTGTAACTTAAGGAGTGAGGTAGAGCAAGGTGTATGCTTCAGAGATAGTGAGGAATACTGTCCTGAGATGATGTGAGGATTCTAGAATATGAATGGTGAGTGGATTTTGAGCCCTTGGTGGTTTCCCCTGGACGTATCCCTTTGCCTATTGTTCCAGTCTCTAAGCATCTCAGTTCCTTCACTTTCATTCTCTAATAAAGTTAATGCATTTTTTGTCTTCATACCAGTTCTCTTGGAGTACACAGTTCAGAAAAGGACTTTTCCCCCATTCATATCATCATTCTTCAGAGAGGTATGTGCTCTGTGTTCCTTAGAAAACAAATGTGACTAGAAATATATTCACAACACTCAAATGTCTTTCCATTATCAAATGATACATTATAGAGCAATAAATGATGAGGCAGGGGCTGGAGAGATGGCTCAGTGGTTCAGAGCACTGGTTGCTCTTACAGAAGACCTGGGTTTGATTTCCAGTACCCATACGGTGGCTAACAACCATCTGTAACTCTAGTTCCAGGGGATTCAACTCCCTCTTCTGACCTCCGCAGGCACTGCATGACACGGGTGCACTTACACACATGCAGGCAATACACTCGTATACATAAACAATAAATATGATAAAATAAATGATGAAGCAAACAACTATAAGATTTTAAATGTTTTTATTAATTCTTTGAGAATTTCATACATTCATACAATGTATTTTGATCATATTCACACACCTATCTACTCCTTCCAGAATTATAAGATTTGAGGGTCTTGGAGCAGGCAATGCAGTCATACACATAAAATAAATGTAATAAATAAAATATTTTTAAAAATGATTTGAGAGGTCTAGGTTCAGTTTCTTGACTTCAAACAAATTGCATAACCTCATTGAGCTTCTGGTTTCTAATCTTTGAAATGGAGATAATATTTACTTCATAGTGTTGAGAATTAAAGAGATGTTATATTCACCTGTTTAACAGAGCAGAACACTGAGTAACTGTAATGCATTTCAACTATTGACAGTCATGTGTGTAAAGTATTTGATAATTTAATAAAGCAGCCTTGTTCTCATCTTAAGTCACCAGTATATGAACAAACTGGACCACATCGAAGTGATCTGAAAAGTCCCTCTTCAATCAGAGAATGGCATAAGAGAATAGGCAAAAATTCACTGGGCATATTCTGAACCAAATCATGGTTCTTATCAAACACAAAGATAAGATGCCTAACGTCCATCTAGAAGAGAGACAAACTGGACCTCTCTGTGTAGTATCCCTCTTTAGGGTTGATGTTGTCCACCACTTTGGGCAAATCTTTTCATACCTGTTCACCAACATTCTCCTTGGGAAGATGGCTTCTGACTTTCTTACCTTGTAAGGTCATTTGAAGAAATCAAATACAATTCATTCCTTATACCTTTTCTGTATGGGGTAGAATAAGACAGACCCCCTATCCACACAGAGTAGATGTATTAGTTACTTACTACATTACTGCAAAAAAAAAACTTGACAAAAGAAACTTAAAGAAGGGAGGGTTTATTTTGGCACTTGGCACATAGTTCCAGGTTACATTCCATTATAGTGGGGAAGGCATGGCTGCAGGGGGTTGAGATCACTAGTCCCATTACATCTGCAGTCAAGTAGCAGAGAGAGATGAATACTACTGCTCAGATCACTTTCTCCTTTGATTCAGTCCAGGACTCCAGCCCATGGGATGGTGCCATTCACTTTTAGGGTCATCTTTCCAATCTTTGCAACTAACACAATATAGAAACTCCCTCACAGATCAGCCCAGAAGTTTGTCTGCTAGGTGACTCTAGATCCTATCAATTTGACAATATTAACCATCAGAGTGGATGTCTGGCCTATTGGTCAACTGGCCATGGGATCACTCTTATTTAAAACCCTTTGTTTAGTGTTTAACACATAGCAAAACCTTGATAATCACTATTTTTTTTTTGCCATTTTCCAAAGTGGATTAATGTGATGGTTTGAATGAAAATATCCCCCATAGGCTCCAAATATTTGGACATTTTGTCCCCAGATGGTGGCACTGTTTTGGGAGGTCTTAGAAGGAAGGTGTGGCCATGTTGGAGGAAGCACGTCACTGGGGGTGGGCTTAGAGAGATCTTAAACCTTCCCAGATCTCAAGTCCATCTTTTGCTTCCTGTGCCTGCTTGAAGATGTAGAGCCTAGCTTCTGCTCCTCCTCCAGCCACCTCTGCCACCATGCCTCCTCATGATGTACTCTTGCCCTTTGGAACCATAAGCTTAAATAAACTCTTATTTCTATAAGTTGTTTTGGTTAGTGTTTCTATCACAGCAACAGAAAAGTGACTAATACAAGTAGTTGGTACCAGTAGTTGGCTGTGAAGAACCTGACCATGTGGGGTTTTGGAAGAATGTGGAAGACTTTGGAAGTTTGGGCTAGAAAAGCAATTGATTGCTGTAAGAAGAGCTTAACAGGCCACTCTAGTAAGCACCTGGAAGAAAATAGTGCTAAGAACAATGTAGTTCCAGAGGGAAATAAGGACTTAACCAGCAATTGGGATATTTTGGCAAAGAGTCTGGCTGGAGTCTGCCCACAGCCAAAAAGTTTGCCTGAGGCTAAGTTGGAAAGCCATGGACTAATTTCTCTGACAGAAGAAATTTCAGGACAGCATGACATAGAAATGGTGGCATGGCTGTTAATGGTGAATATTATACAGATTTATATGGGGCAAATGTGGCAGAAAGAAATACAGAGTGTACAGTTTCGATTGAAAAAGAGCACTAGGAAGGTGAATGTTGGAGCCCAGGCATGTGCTGGAGAGGATCCTTTTGATAAGATTAAAGTGATTAAGGAGAGTCCAAGAGATGTGCACTTAAACAATGGAGAGAGTACCTCCAGGGCAAGGCTACACACAGTTAAGCCTCCAACTTGTGAAAGGAAAATGCTGCATGAGCCACTGATGGAAAAAGCTTCTAAAATGGATAAAGCAGGCTGGGGTCCATCCCAAACTTTCAGTCAAACTTGGCAGACAGCATGCAGCATGAGTTTCCCTACTTAAAGAAGGCCCTGGTAGGCCATTGCATGAAGCTGTGAAGGTGAAGCCTGATTGGCAATGGAGACCCCAAAAAGACATTTGTGATGCCAGAGCTGTAAGGCATGTGCCAAGACCTGCATACAGGGAGTTTTACCAGCCCAAGAGTGAGATGTATGATCCATGCAGCAAAGCAGAAGAGGCTGAGCCATCTAAGGCCTTTGGAAGTAAAATCCCAGAAGTCACATGTGGAGCTACTGGATTTGGTGTTTGCCCGCTGGTTTTCGGTCTTGTTTTAGTCCAGTATTCCCTCACTATGCCTCTATTCTTCCCTTTTGAAATGATAATGTGTATTCGGTTCCACTGTATGTTGGGAGTATGTAATTTGTCCTTTGATTTTACAAGGGCCTTACAGTTAAGCAATTTCCCCAAGTTTCAGAAGCAATTTTGGACTGTGGACTTTTGAGTAGTATTGAGACTGGTAAAGATTATGGTGACTTTTAAGGTTGGACTAAATGCATTTTGCAGTTTATATGGTCATGAGCTTATGGGGGCCAGGGAGTGGAATGTGATGGTTTGAATGAAAATGTCCCCCATAGGCTCTAAGTATTTGGACATTTTATCCCTAGTTGGTGGCACTGTTTTGGGAGATCTTAGAAGATGTGGCCATGTTGGAAGAAGCATGCCACTGGGGACAGGCTTAGAGAGATCTTAAGCCTTGCTGGATCTCGAGTCCATCTCTTGCTTCCTGTGCCTGCTTAAAGATGTAGAGCCTGCCTTCCACTCCTGCTCTAGCCACCTCTGGCCACCATGCCTCCTCGCCACAATGGACTCTTGACCCTTGGAACCATAAATAAACTCTTCCTTCTATAAGTTGCTTTGGTCAGTGTTTCTGGTTGATGTCCTTCAGAGAATGGATGCCCATTGTTTCCTGGGTGTCTCAAGTGGGTAGTTTGGACTGAGAAATAGCTATACTCCTCGGCACGCAATTCAGTTGTCTATTGGTTTTAGATAAACTGCTTAGAGACTACCTGGTTTTTATCATGGATTGGATAAAGATAGACACTAGATCACTTTTGAGAGAAAATATTGTATCTAATTTTTTAATCTCTTGAGAATTACTTTACTATTTAAGATGTATTTAAGGCACTAAAGCTGCAGTTGGGGATTGGGAGAGGGGATATAAAATTCTTTCTGTAGTCTATTTTTTTTTAATTTTTATTATTTTTATGTGTATGCATGTATTGCCTGCATGTAGGTAAGTGCATTCGTGTCGTGCAATGCCCACAGAGATCAGAAGAGGCTGTCAGATCCCCTGGGACTGGAGTTATGGAAAGTTGTTAGCTGCCATGTGGGTGCTGGGATTCGAACCCAGGTCTTCTGTAAGAACAACCAGTGTTCTTAACTGCTGAGCTATCTCTTCAGCCCCTCTATGTGTTTTTTAAAAGGCAAGTTATATATATATATATCTTTGTTGGCAGAGGACTTACTTAGAATGTAGGAACCCCTGGTTTCCATTCCCAATACCACTGCATAAGCCAGGTGTGATGGCTTATATATATTATCCTAACACTTGAAGGTAAAGGCAGCAGGATAAGGAGTTCAGGTTCATCCTTGGCTATATAGTGAGTCTGAGGCCAGCCTTGGGTTCATGAGACCCTGTCTCAAAAAAGGGACTAAGTGAGTGCTGGAGGAATGGTTCAGCAATTAAGAGCTCTTGCTGCTCTTCCAGAGGGCCTAAGTTCAGTTTCCAGCACCCACATCAGGCAGCTCACAACTGCCTGTCACTCCAGCTCCAGGGATCTGACAGCATCTTCTGGCCTCTACACGTATTCACATACATGTGGCTTATACACATAGACAAATATATATAAATAAAACTTTTAAAAATTAAAGGATGAGAACAAAGGCACCAAGCTCTATGTTATAATTTTGTATATATAGTGTACATATTTTTGTAATAATAAAATTGGTTGTGGTCTTTTGAGCATAGTAATAATTACCATTCATTCTACTCAGTGCTTCCCAATAACTCATTTAATATTCACAAGCTTCATTTTACACCTATAGGAACTGAAGCTCACAAAGGTTTTCAGTTGGATAAAACCACATAGCTTCTAAGAATTGAATTCAAGACTAGCTGTGGGCATGCTTACCTTTCATCCCAGCACTTGGGATGTAGGGGCAGGCAGATCTTTGTGAGTTCAAGACCAACCTGGTCTACATAGCAAATTCTAGGCCAACCAGAGAGAGCCTGTCGAAAGAAAGAAAGAAAGAAAGAAA